TAGAGAATTTTGATAAACCATTGCTGGCTATGGCTTTGTACGGCAGGTGTTTTGATAAGGACCCCCCACCTCCTTATAAATTCAATCATACCTTTGAATAAAACAAAATTTTAAGTATTAATAAAGATTCAAGTAAACTTCACATTTGATTTCAATTTAGTAAGTGTCTGATTATTTACTGTAAATTTCATACTCAAAGTATACTCATAACATCTTAGCCCTGATGATGGTCACAGTGTTGACCGAAAACGTTCGGTAATTATATTAATTTTATTTTTAATATATTTTCACTGATACTACGATTAAATATTGAAAATTTAAACTTTAAATATATAAATTGTAATGTTAAACTTTTTTGCACTTAAAATGAGAGCAAACATTTTGTTATGTTTTTTGGATGGATGAATAGATTAATATTAAAATATTATTATTTATTATGTGATGAAATAAAAATCTTTTTAAACATTGAAATCAAATAATTAAATTAAATTTTATAATTCTCTATTCAATTGATACACCTTATTAAATTTTCAATGTTATCGTTTTCAATTTCTAAGTTATTACAGTATGAGACATTTACTGTAATTATATATTAATTATATATTAAATATACATAAAAACATTTAATTTTTAAATAATAATTTTGTCAAAATAACAATTATTTATCACTTTTAAAAATATAATTATTAGAAAGTTTCAAAACTCAGAGACAGACAGAAAACAGACATGTCTTTCAAATTGAGACCAATTTCAGACCCCGAGGAAAAGGATGCAAAAGCGGTGGAAATGGCGGTCACAATGGACTTGAAGTCTATAGTTATTAAGAAGAAGGTTGCGCTCAAAGTGGATGCCAAGAGTGGTGGACCCCAACGTATACCACAACAGATAGACGTACAGAAAGTGACCGAAAAGGTGTTGAGTGCCATACAAGAGGTAACCGTTGATAGTGTGTATCACATCGGAAAGGATGGCAATCAATGGGATTGTGGGCCCATTCTGGAGGTCATACCCAGCGGTTCATTCAAAAACATATCGACCGGAGAGACGGTGACTGAAAACAAGACTGCCCTCAAGTCCAAAGAATTGGCCGTCAAATTGGACCCAAAGAAAGACCACAACTTTGTGATAGTCGTCGGCGCCGACGGCTGTATACTATTGAAGCCAAACAGTAGTGCTGTCATCAATATGCCGGTGTTTGTGGTCGAGCCCACCGGTGACTACTATCACACCAACAAAGGGGCGCGGGAACTACAGTTGGGCGCCGGTAGTCATCTGATTCTGTACACAAAGATTATTCCCATACTTTATGTGAGTTTCCCAAAGGTTGTCCTAAAAGTAGCACCAAAGGTGACAATGGCTTCAAAGCCTGAGAAAAAGAAGGCACCGGTAGCCCAAAATACAGTCCAAATCCAAAGTCCAACCTCAAAACCAAAGCCAAAGCCAACTCCACCGCCGACTCCAACCCCAAAGCAAACTGTGCCAAAAACAATAGCACCGGCAGATCGGAACGCCTCCGACACGGCGGGTGAGGCGCCAGACTCTAAGTGGAAGCCATTGCTAGGAATGATATTCTTTTTGGTTCTCATTCTCATGACTTTCCTTATCTATTGGATACTAATCCGCCGCAAAAGACATCGGACGGTGGCCTGTAATTGTCGTATCTGTGGATCACCTCTTCATCGAAACCCATATTAGACGCAAGACTACCATTGAAACCATGTTTTCAGAGAAAACTTATCTTCAAATTCATTCGTGTTTTCAATGAAAAAGTTTTCTCTTATTTGCAGATCTTTTGAATAAAATTCTTTCCACAAAATCATGTTTTACATGAGTTTTGTGTGTTTTCCCACAGACTATGCATAAAAATGTGCATTTATTGACACATTAACTAAATTTGGCTTTTAATGACATTTTTATTGAATAATAATTTTTACTCTTAAAGATATAACAATTACGAGTCCATATGAAACTTATTGATCATTTCGAGCATAAATTTAATAGGTGTCCTCATATTGTGGGCCCAAACAGCCGGATCAGTTGCCTGATCAATAGTCTTAATCTTAGCCCAGTCTTCGGGCTTCAATTTGGCCGCACACTTGTCAACGCTATCGAAATCACTGCACGCGAAGGTCACCGCTTCCGACGCCTAAGACAGACCATTAATGATCAACAAATATAAGACAGACATTCATCTACACAACTGACCACTTCCTCGAAGATCTCATCCCAATACTGGGCGTGTCCTTCGCTACAGATTTGTATGGTATTCGTGAGGATACAGTGTTTGAACACCTGATAGGCACAGCACATGAAGGCCAGGTGTGCGTCCTCTTTGGACATCTTGGATGCGATTTCCATGAACTTCGTGTGTTTATCGCCGCAGACGTGCAACGGTTTCATCTTCTCTTTGGGCAAAAAGCATTTGACATTTTCGAGAAACTCTGCCCTTTCGGACGGCTTATTACAGCGCGACTCCATATGATGGCCCATATTTGTCAACACCATTTCCGTCACTTGTTGCGGGAAACCTGTCAAACACGAGGCCGAGTAGTCGCGGGCACAGTTCACTCCACCATTTATTGTACTAATTTTGTTGTCACCAATTGTGTGCCAATTATATGATTTAAAAATTTATATAATTGTAAAATAAATTCAAACAAATACGAAATGAATATAATAGGCAGACCTGCAGTGGTGGCTCATTTCATCCTCATTAGAGGGTATAATGGAGTCGAGATTACCAAGGAACATGGCATCATGAAAACAATTGTCCAGTTGCTCCTCAGTTATCTTGCATTCAGACCGATAGCCCTTAAACGCGGCTATTATTATAACTATTGAAAATAAAATATGAATGAAAATGTGGTGTAAATTATAATTATTTATAAAGACTCACTTAAACACAGATTTAATTCTTTATACATATTTTAATTAAAATATGTGCTAATTATGAAAATCATCATTTACGTTGATTTGACTATTTATATAAAATATAAATTTATTCGCTTCAATGAATCCGACAATTATTTATAATTTTTTAATTATATTTGAATTTATGTTTATTCTGAAATTACTTTTTTTTATTGCTGAACAATTATAACTTTTTTCATGTGATTTAATTGCGAATTTAACTATTGAATCTATAATCAATTATTGTTTTTTGTTAGTTTATTTAGTAGATAACAATTGTATTTAATGATTAATGAATTTTTAAACAAGACTAATCATACAATTGATTTTAATTTGCATTTAAAATATTATTTAAGATTTTGTAAAAGTTTTTCTATACAAATACCCTTTTTTACATCATAGGTTTGTTTAACTTAATATAGTTTTTATCTTAAATTTAATGTTTTATATTTACTAAAAATCCCAATTTTTAATTATATATAAATATTAAATGTTTAAAGTGCACTAGCATTTAATTTTAATTAGACTGATTCAGAAATAATTTTACTAATGAATTTACGAATTTAATAAAAAAATAAGTAAAAAATAATGAGTTAAATGTTTTAAAAAGCAATAATTATACAATTTTGATGTAACAAGAAATTTTGTCTGTTGACAAACATAAAATAATTTTGTTTTTATCAAACAATAACACCTTTATAAATTTTATTATTTATTAATGTTTTGATTTATTAATGTTTTAATTGTAACTATACTTTAATTAAATGTCAATGAAATATTTGTTAAATTACTTTCTAACCATGTTAAAGTATTAATTATGTCTAATCACTATCTATTTCCACCTGTTTTTAATCAATCACTTTAACTAAAATGATACAGTTGCAGGTATCTTAATTATAAGAAATTTATACAAATCTAAACTCATTTGTGGTGAATAAACAATTTAATTATTATTTAATGATTTTATATATCATTTCAAAATTTTCCAATTTATATAGTTTTAGTGAATCCGTGAATATAGTTAGCAATTAATCTATTCTGTGATACTATCGCAATGATATTAAACATAAAAGTAATTCATTTTGTGCTACTTTTAGTGGTCATCGGGTGTGTGAGTGGCAATCATAAGCCATCGCCGCACAAGTTTGACTGTCCACCTAAAAAGGTGCCAGGTGGTATGAAAGAGGTGATGACATGCGCTGCCAAATTTAAGTTTATGTTGGACCAGGTCTGCAAACCCAAATGTATGTGTCTTAAGTGTGCTCAAAGTTAAATAAAGTTTTATATGTCGTTTTCAAATTATCTTATTTATTCATTCATTTAGACGGACTCCCAAATGATTTAGTTATGAATTTAGCAAAACATGTCTTCTTTCACGCCATCAAATGTATTGATGAGGACTACGAGGTCAGAGTGAACATGATTTTGTCTTTTTATAGATTTTAAACAAACACATCCAATACGTACATAATAAAGTCAATATGAAATTTATAGCATTTCCTGATTGACGGTGCAATTGACTGTTTTGTTGGCGACGGATCACCCGGAGCTGAAATGATGTGTAATATCAAGACGTCTATGTGTAACGCGGCTTTGCAGACAAAAGTGGTTGGATGTGCTATGAAGGAGGCAAAGATGCATACCATAGATATGGCTAAACTCATGTCTATGATCGGGCACATCGGCAAACTTTGCAATATATTAGCCGTAAGTCCTATCCAGTATGAAAACATTGAAAACTTTTTGCTTATATTTGTAATTTACTATTCAAATAGGATGGTTGTCATAGGGAAGCCCGAGCGGTATGTCCTTTAATTTATTTGTCAATTTACCTGGTTAGATTGTAATTTTATTTTATTTTCAGAAATGGAGTGACTTTCCACCACTTCCGGTTAAATAAGTATCGTATGATTTTCAGTCATTTAAATTACATGAGAAGCAATTGAATGACTTTATGGTTTTATTTAAGTTGAATTATTGTAATAATGTTTTACAATTTTATTGTTAACAATTATATTAAATTGAATAATAAGGTTTATTTTATTGGCATTTCTTATCATTACTGAATTTTTATTTTCATTTCATATTGTATTGACTAAAACTTCATACAACTACAGAAATATTTACTTTAAAAACTAAAGTATTGTCTCAAATGTGGTCTCAATATACAGTATAAGGCCTTTGAATGTGAGGTTATTTCGGTGATCACTCTTCCATGAGTTGTTTCAACACATTCTTCAGTGCTATAAACGGCGAGGTATTGACCCGTTTGGCGGCAATCTCTTTGGGATCATTGGAGGCCACGAGTGCCTTGAGGTTATCCCACTCCTTCTTGTCCATAGCACTGTCACAGTGGGACAGACTGTCATATTTGCCGCAACCTGTCTTAACTATCTCACCCGTCTATACATAACCAACAAAATGAATACATATTAAGAAAATAGTAATTAATAAAAAAGGTGTACCATTTCGGTCAAGAATTTGGTGATGTAATCAATTTTGTCTTTTTGTGAGCATATCTTGACGCCGGCCTCCCGGACGCAGTGATCCATCAACTGGAATGAGCAACAGGTGGCCGGTATTCGGTGGTCACCCGTCACACCCGCCAAGTGCTCCATTTGCACCACAAACTTCTCCATACATAAGTGCAGTGGACCTAGATCAGATCCCTGGGCGCACTGTAAGGCATCCAACAATTCTGGTGTTGGAGTAAACATATATTAAATGAATTAATAATTTCATTTTCTTAGTCAATAAATATATTTCGCTCACTCTTTCTCTCGCTATCCGTTTTGCAATACTTTGCCTCTAATTTGTCGCCGTTTTTGATCACAATATTCATGATTTGTGTGGCGAACGGATCCAAACAGGTCTTGGAATACTTCTTTAGACAGTCGAGTCCTTCGTTCACTTGACCGCATCGGGTCTTCAGCTCGTCGTCATTCTTGGGGAGACCAGTGGTCTGTTCGCCGATAAACATCAATCGTTTCCCACATTCGTCGGCCGACGCCTCCGATATCTCACAGTGCGGTCGACCCCACACTCCCACGATTCCGACGATCACACAAATGAGTAGTATTTCAATGGTTATTGAATTCATTTTATGACTTTAATATAGACTTTAAATATATTAAATATATTACTCTGTGACTATAAATTATAAATAATATATACAAACACCGAGTCTAATATCAAACTTGGAGTGTTATTAGCAATTAATAACTAAAACCATGAATTTTAGACACTATTTATATATAAAGCTTTTCAATTAGAGTAAAGGTTTGGCTGTGTTTTTGGCGTATTTCCCGTACGTAAACACCAATTCTTTGTTGTATTCAAAACAAAGAATCGAGAAAATGATTAATAATAATATTTGTGAAGAGAATTTCACTTAATTTGTTGATTCCGTGACACTATATTTTCCTATAAGTCTTTAATAGACTTTTATACAAACCATTCATCTGTGAAGTGATGAGTAAACCTATGATGAGATGCTTAAGAACTGGAAGTTTTTGGATGTCTTTCAGACGTCATTCAAAGTACAATCAAAAGAAATAATTTT